AGAGAGAGAGAGAGAGATTCGTGAAAAGGAAAATGAGATGAAGTAAAAAAAGATGATGATAGAGGTAGAATAAAATCAATAAAAAAAGAGAGGAATAAACGAATAAAACAAACAAAAAATAGAAAAATGAAAGAGAGAGAGAGAGAGAGAGAGAGAGAGGAAGAGAGAGTTCACCAACAATATATTTATACATTTAAGAACATCTATATATACATGTTTAAAAAGTATAATTTGTATTTAATTTTAAAGAAAGCCCAATTTATATGTATTATCTTAACCCACAAAAGTACATCATCCCACCAGTCAGTTTATTCTTCTACCAGAGACACCAGTTCGTCCCTATTAGAAGATAACAGATCAGCTGATTACTTAATTAACCGGCTGTCAAAGACCAGAGAAGCAGCGAGCAGCAGGTAGTATTGTGTGTACTAATCACTCGAAGGTGTTGAGAACAATCATATCTAATGGGAGACATCTCACTCGTTAACTACAACGTAAGTGTGAATGACATGAAGGTGACTATATCGAGCTGATACGTCTCAACGTGACGTAGTTGTGACGTGATGATGACGTTTCGTGAAGTTAGTGACGGGAATCTGATAAGGAAATGACATCATTACGAAGTGCAAGTGACGTAATATAAAAAATGACGACCGACCTGAATGTGACTTAGAATTAAAAGGTTAATGGTGTGGATGTTATATATGTATACGGTGTAATAATGGTTTAACGGTATAGACGATGACATAAACATGACGTCATATTGATGATGATGACATAAACATTACATAGTAATGAAGTAACATGGAGATAGTGACGTGAAGACTATGTAGAATAAAGATGATGATATAAAACATGACGTCATGATGACGTAATATGAAAAGAATGACATTCAAAAAACGTCATCATACCCATATTATCTTCATCATTGTCATCATCAGCAGCGAAAGCATTATCATTATTGTCATCGTCATCGTCAACAACAACATCATCATCATCTTCTTCTTCATCATCCTCATCATCATTAATATATCTAACAAAGACGAGCAAATGCTTCATGAAAGCATTTGTAACTTATATGCATTCTTTCATTATTCTTTTGTGTGTATTTCTCTCTCTCTCTCCCTCTCTCTCTCTCTCTCTTTCTCATTGTGTGTGTGAGTGTGTTTGTATGCTATATGTGTGCGTGTTGTATGTGTGTGTGTGTGAAAGAGTGAGTGTGTGTGGTTATGAAGGAAAACTTAGAAAAACATAAGAAAATGAACAAATACTGAAAAAGAAAAAACACCCGAGAGAGAGAGAGAGAGAGAGAGAAAGAGAGAGAGAATAAAAGCAAAAGAAGAAAAGAAAGTTTAAAAGAAGAGAGAGAGAGAGAGATCTAGTTTTTCTGAACTAGATTTCAAGATACAACATCAGTAGTAGTAGCGTAGTAGCGAAGCGATAGCCTATACAAGTCGCTTGGTCGCGATTAAGAATTCGAAATATGAAGTTATTATTTATTACAGGAATGAAAGTGGCGTTATTTCATTTAAAATATTTTTTCAGATTGAATAAATTTCATTCTTTAAAAAATAAAATAAAAAAAATGTTTTAAATCGGATTTTCAAATTGCTTCAGCATGAGCGTAACGTCTGAAGGATTGAATTGAAACAATCTTTTATTCAGCAAAAAATCACATTAACAAATTACTAGGAGACCAGAAGTTTCCACTTGTTAGGCCATCTTGTGAGAAATGAAAAGTAAAATAACTTCTAATAAACAAAATATCAAAATAAAAATAGAATAAACAGTTTGACCAGAGCAATTTCAAACACTATTAAACGATGAAAAATAATTTTCCAAGATT